TTGTATTCCCTTTTTAACACATTTTCTTAGCTGCTTATTGAACTTTTGCTTGTCAACTTGTCTCATTTTGGGAGCATTTCTGGGAATGCTACCATAGTTCTCTGCTTCTTCACTAGCAACCAGTATTTTGCCTCTAGAACTTTTCTTTTAACCTTCCTTACGTTACTGTTATTTACACAGCAGCGATGGCCTTTGACCCCTCCTCAGTACCTCCAAGGAGCCTTTCCAAACCCTCTGTGAGGTCTGATGTTTTTGCATTAAGCAGAGAAGTCTGTGATCTCTGGTATGTCAGACTTTGTGTTCCTGATAATCATTGCTACAACACTGAGGCAGGTGAGGTTCACTCATAGCTATCAGGCAAACTTGGAAAAATCTGGATGCAATTGTTTTCTACTGATTAAGTGAGAAGATGAACAACATCTGTAGGTAGTTGGACTCACTAAAAATAATCCACTGGCAAAAAGTGCTTGGCACTGTAGTCACGCATGTAGGTGGTCAGAAGGGTATTCACAATACCTACATGGTTGGTCACTGTATTATCGCTATTAGTCCTATGTACTAACTAGGACAGACCCTGTAAAGTCCAAGAACAGTTCCTGTTGATTTCAGCAGAATTATTGCACTGTTGCAAAATGCCACACTTCTTATATGGGGGGGATTTTACAGCGCACATTGTTCATGATTTTCAAGTTTGAGGAGAGGCTCCAGGTGACCAGAATGTCATCCGAAGGATTTGAATGAAGTCTTACTATTTTAATAGTGTCACAATATACTAACAAATACAAAATGATCCAGATTCTGGCCATGAATGCAGAACTGCTTCTTGCTGTTATATATGATATCACGCAGCAACTTGGCAGTTGTGATGCTGGTCAGAATTACCTGATAGATGCGATGTGCAAGTTGCTGGACTGATTGCAGACTAAGGAGGAGTCAGATATCACTGTGTGCTAACAGTAAGTGTAGACTCATTAATAGAGACAACTGAATTTGTCAAGACAACAGACATCAGGAAACAACTGGATTTGAGCCTGATGCTGTTGTTATTGATCTACCAAGCCAAACAGGGAATGCTGAATCAGAGGGAAAAGATCTCAGGCATGCAATTACATAGGGCCTTAGTGAAAATCAAAAGCTTCGTTGACACAAACTTCAGGAAGGTTTGATTAAAAGGTACAGTTCTATTAATTTTCTGCTAGTGTCCTTGAACATATTGCACAAAGCTCAATAAAAGCTTAAAAAAAAAAAAAGGCGCATGAGAAAACTTCTAACCAGGCATCTAAGCAAGAAAAACAAGCAAAGCTTTGTGTTATGAAAGATAAATGGTGGGCACAAAAGGCAGAGGAGTTTTTCTAAGTTGTGGATCCAGAAAATACCACGTGGGCTTGGAAACAGCATCTGGCCTTAAAGACACTGCACCATTTCTGAAGTGAAGATGGACTAATAATGATGGAATTGATGGAAAAGAAATCTGAGATGGCAGGCCAAACCTTTTCATTTTTTGTCCTAAATGATGAAGTCCTAGATGAAGCTGTACAGCTGCTTGGCCAGGAGCAGGGCATGGCACTGCCTAATAAAATGGAGATTTTTCCAGCTGTCTAGCAGATGGCACACAGTGCAGTCAGCCGTAAGCAAATTCACTAAAATATAAAACCATGGGATAAGAGTCACAAGTAGCCAGAAGACTTGCAGCTTTTTGGCTGTATAGAGAACTATTTCTGTAGGTGTTAGAGAATTGAAATGCTGTCCACCTTTATGAAGGGAAGGGTGACGATATGTCTTCTGAAAATTGTTCTAATTCTCTCAAGTCCTGGAAAAGTCTTTAGAGGAAAAATGGGCAATTTTGGCTATAGATTCTTTCAGTCAGTTAGTCTGGTTAAAGGAAGATGTTGTCCTGTTTTGATAGAGAGGTCAGTAAGTTAGTAATCCTTGAGCCCTGTAACATTTTTTTTTAACAACCACCATTTTTGAAAATAGATGTATGAAATCATACATAGTTTTAATATCTGCAGAACTTTACTCACTTGTTTTTATATTTACATTTAGAAAGTGTTTCATTGATCTCAGCAAAAGGTGATTTTAGTAGGAGTTTAATATAATAAATGGTTCGAGTTAATTCAAAGCATGTGGTATTTCAGATCCCAGCAGGAGTCCTCTGTATATAGGCTGCTGTCAAATTCCAGTAGGTGAAAAGAATAAGGGAAAAAGTGCCAAAAGAATGAGTGACCATGGTAAAAGATTTTAGGGTAAAACTGGTATTTTAAGTGCTTGTTTGTTCATTTTTATAGAGTACTTCATCAAGCTGTATGGTTTTATATAAAACAGTGAAGTGCTCTACAGCAGCTTTGCTGTTTAAAATTAAACTGAGGGCATGGCATTATCTGGAAAAGGAAAGAACACGATGTAGAATGAGAGAAGGTTGTGGGCTTTGGAAAGATGAGTGAAAATGATTCTTCGGATTTTAAGATTATCACGCACTTCTGAAGAATTTATGGGGGTTGGAAAAATTTCTAAGAGTAGACTTTTTAATTTCTTCAGTAATTAAAAGACAGCAAGATAGAAAACACTCAGGAAGACAGAGCTGTCAGGCAAGATCCATGTATTGCAGGCTTAGCCATTATGTTTGAAAGTGTTGCGCTGATATTTTAATTCCATTAGCTCTGGTGTATTTTAATTTCTGAGACTAGTGACAAAAAAAGAAGGAAAGTGTTTCGGGTTGTTTTTTTTCCCCACCTCCTTGGGAAATGGTTAGGGAAACAAAACAGCCTTCAGGATTTGTCTTTGCATCCAACATCATCTTTTAACCTGCTAAACACACTAATGATTGCAAATATTGATCAGGAAGCTACAAGTTTTAAATGTCCTGCTCTCCAAGTTACAATTTCATAAACATTTAGTTCTTCTGAAGTAATAGGAAAATATTGTTAAAAGTAGTTTCCGAAATTAACGCCTGCCTCACACGGCTTGCTTTTGTTGACCTGACATTAATGTGTATTTTACAGGCAGGACTGTGAAAAATTCTCCTGTACACATTAAGGCTTTCTGGAAAGGATTCAAAGTGTAATAACAATTGTTTTGTCATATATTTTTTAACTGCCTAATGTGTATACTATTCTGTCTTTACATTTCCGTTTCAGTACTTCAGAATTGATACAGCGTACGGTGCGATGCAGGCAGCTTGCAACATTGGAAGCAGGTTGTTGTGCAGTCAGCTCAGAGAGGTGACGTGCCACTGCAGTCAGTGAGGTTGCATTCAGTTACCTGTGATGAGGAGCTGATACGTTGTGGTCTATTTTTTTCCCTGCATATGTTTATACCAAAACAAAATGCAAAATTATGCAATAGCCAACCAGAGAAGGGGAGAAAGCAGAAATAAAATTTTAGATTTAGTGATGAAAATGGCTCAGCTAAGTGTTGAGATCAGTGTATGCTTAAAGAAAGGAAATTGACTGATTAGCTGTTAATTTGGAACAAACATTTTGATGGGTTGATCTAATGATAGAATACATATAGAAATATGCATCTATGTGACCATATATATGCTCTAAACCGAAATCTAAGTATTGTTGATCTGTTATGAAGCAAGATTGTCCTCAGAAGCACAACACTTTTTTTTACTGAAATGGAGAAGCGTGCTGTTGAAGTGCATGTGGATATTCTCGCTAGTATATTTGTAGCATGATCGTTATGACTGAAACACCAATTTGCCGTCATTTACATCTGTGGTTTTCCTGAGTCTCGGCTTCCTCCAGGAGCTTGCAGGTTCCTTTGGTGCTGCGACCTTGACTGGGTGACAGATGGTGCAAGGAACGTAATGTTGTCCTGTCACCGGTGAAGGGACTAATTCCTCTGGCCTTCTAACAAGGGTTTTGCAATCCCACCTGGAAGTGCAGAAGTCAAAGGTCGAAGTTAAATGCTTTTGCTGTTATCTGGGCTCTCATTGGTTGTGACATCACTAAACCAATTCACTGACACAAATTTCAGAGATGGGAATGATCAAAAATCACAACATTCAGAGACAAATCAGCAGCTCTTACTACTACTAGTTAGGTTTTATATTTTGTGCTTGAAAGCCTTAACGTGTGTATTTTATACTTGGAAGATTAGTGTTTGCATTTTAATGTTAGCACCATCACTTACAGTTTCTCGACTCTTCTTTTGCTTATATCCTGATCATCAGTGCTGCAATAATAATTGCTTAAATGTGTGACTTGGTCAATTTGAAAGGGAAGAAAGAATAAGAGGGGTTGAAAGATGAGCTGCCTTTTGTCGGGCAGGGTAGGGTACGTGGAAGGTCATCTGCAGTCTGCACAATAAGATGTGGACTTTCATCATGGTGTTTCCCCTCGGTTTGAACCTGCCAGTGTACGTACAGGGTAGAGCCTCAGCTTATGAAAGATCGCCTCTGCAGAGAGGCGATCTGCACCTCTCCTCTTCTGCTGAAACACGGAGGTTGTTGGTTGAGGTTCGGTCGCGGGTTTGCGCGTACGAGTGGCTCCTGGCACGGGGCTGCCCGCTGCTGGGGTAGCTGCAGGCGTGGTGGTGCTGGGTTTGCAGCAGGGGGGAGTGGGCAGACCTGCCTGCTGCATGCAAGGGAAACAAAGCCGTTTGAAGAGAGGAGGGGGAAAGAACCTTACAGCAAGTGTCTCTACAGATGTCGGGGTTGCAAAACTTGTTAGATCTGGGAAAAAAAAAATGCTGACAGCATTTGTAAATTTTTGTAAATTTACAAATTTACTTGTAAATTTTTAGTTTTGCTCTAACTGTAGCAAGTCTCATACACATAAGAAAGGAAAAAAAGTCACATCAAGAAGCTTTTAAGTAAAATGTTAGTAAGTATTTAAGTTGAAAACCCATCAATAAAAAAGATTTATCAGGGCACTAAGGAAGCAACTACAAAACTAGGGGAAAAGAAATGTTATTTCTTTGTGCTTAGATGTCTTACAAATCATCAAATAGGTACTTTCAGATTGTTCCTAAGATTTCATCAGCATGAATAAATGGACACGCGGCTTTTCTGCATGGAGTGTGTGGTTAGAGGAGGATTTTGTACAGTTGCAACAGGATCATTTGGGGCCTGCTTTTGCAATTCTTGTTGCTACAAATGAGGCTGTTAAAGTCCGTAACAGCTGCTGGAATGAGTAAGTATGCTATGACCAGACTTTGATATAGTGCTGTTGTACTTCAACCAGAGATACTTTTGAACACATACAGGAATATAAAATCAAATATTTATTCTTTTTTAATGCATCCATCACTAGATGATTTAAAGATGTTAGTGTAGTAACGTCTATGTAAGTTCTGTAATTTAAATATTGTTTATTCTGAATCTCACTTCAAGTTAGATTCTAGTCCTTGCTCTGGGTGGTGTTTGCGCATTTTGAAGTAAGCAGTTGCTAGGAGAAAATGTATATATGTAATCTAGAGCCCATCCTTCCAGATAAATACTTTAAACAGAAGCAAAATGTATAGTACCTGGCAAATACCACTGTCAAAAAGGCTTTTATGGCGTTATGGACGCATAGTTGGTTTGGGAGGCATTCTGACAGCTGCAGTCTTCAGTGGGGATGCTTGAATTTCACCTGCAAACCACACTAATCAGAGAAATCTTTTGAATTCTGGAGCAGAAAGGCTATGCCGCTTCTGCAGATTGGGTTTGCCTTTTAATTCGCTCAGTCCTACGGGCCTGGTGCATTACTGCAGTGTGATTTACAGTTTTCTCAACCTGATTCAATTCCTCAATTTAGTAAAAGAAGTACCATCAAAAGCAGTAGTGTGGTTAGTAGTTGTTTATGAAGTTAATACTCCAAATAACAGCATCTTACAGTGAAAGAAATCCTATTTTGATTCATCTCGCTTTTGATATTCAGCCATGTCTTTCTGAGATCTCTGTGTGCAATCAGTTTGGAGTATGCTATTGCTGTCTGACCTTTAAGTACATTAGTTTTTAACTTCCTTTTCATTTTCCTCTGTTTCCAGGAAATTGAAGACCATGTGGCATTTTTAATAACTGTTCCAACAGCCCTAGCAATTTTTTTTGCTATATTTATCCTTGTCTGCGTAGAACCTGTATTTAAGAAGCTACTTCGTATATTTTCTCTGGTGGTCTGGGTATGTCTTGTTGCCATGGGATATCTCTTTATGTGTTTCGGAGGAATCATCTGTCCCTGGGACCAGGTAAGACTGTCATTATTATTAATTTTACTTCCTTGGGTACATTTCCAAGAACCATTCTGTGCAAAAGTATTCACATTAATTTTTGTGGGACATCTCATAAAATGTTTTTGTGACTACGTGTTTGCATGCTGAGACTCCCTGCATCTATTTTATAAATACCAAAGAGATGTGCATACTTAGGATATGGAAATATTTGAAGGATTTTGCTTTTATGTTTTTAAGCTCCTTTGCATAATGAACATTTGATTCCAGTCACCAACTTCTTTGTATAGTGAATATTTGATTCTAGTGACCAATTAACATGGCAGAAATGCTGGTTTTGTTCAAGACCGTTGATGCTTTCTTCTTCAGCTTAAAATGTTCGAGCTCTCAGTGTAGGCTTTCTGTGGTCTTCAAGATGTTCTTTAGCAACGTGTGAGAAAAAAGGCCTGGGAGCTTCCTTGCATTTCTAGGGAAATAAATGAGTAGAGAAACAGTGAAGTACCCTTCACATTTTTAAAGTTTTGTAATGAAGACAAAGCAAAAACATAATTGCATTTTAATAGCAACACTTTTGAAATATCAATAAATAAATGATGTGCAATATCCAGCGCTGCGCCTGATTGATTCTTCTGTGTTCTGCCATATCCTTTTCCCAAGCCTCTCCACGTGGGAATACTCCTGATATAATAATTGTAAAACTCTTCACGGGGTGGAAAAAAGCTTTAAAATATATCAATATGTCTTCTGAAAATTTCATGCTGATTCCCTGAGTTTGTTATAACCTTTAAATGGTAGTGCTGTATCTGAGGTGCCTTCTAGGTCTTTAAGATAAACTTGAAACAAATGCTCTGATTTGTTATTCGGATCTTGCAAAGACTTATGCAAATACTGAACTTTAAGTATGCAAGTAGTTCCTTTAAAATCTTTAATTCAAATGATTTAAATTACTGGTGTATGTTGGTAATATTAGTTTTGCAGCCCTTACCTTTGTGGGTGACTTTTATATTCTCATTTTCTTGGAAGGTTCAGGGATTAATCAGCTATGAAACCGCCTTCCTGCCTTTTTTTTTTTTTTTTTAAAGTATTTGACACTACCAAACCAGGCCATACTTGCATGTAATAAAAAGCAAATCAGAACATGTAATATTTTTCTCTACATGCAGATTTCATCAGGGGAGTCCCTGTATCTTTGTGATATCGAGTCTAGATAATTCACGTGGTTTTACTTTTTTTGATTTATTTATTTTCATTGCCAGTTGCGGGATGTCATGCTAGAATATTTCAGGCTTTCAAGCTTAGATGCAAATCTTTAATTAGCCATATTATTTGTTCATTGCAAATTCTGCTGAGTTTAATTTTGCTATTTGAAAGATAGGATAATGATTTTCAAAAGCACGTGGCATAAAGGAGATGTAAGAGGGACGCCGATGTCTCGGTCCCCTGGTTGAATTCAGCCTGTGAAGATGGTTCGTCCTGCCTTGCTTTGCTCTTCGGAAAAACGTAGGCATTCCCACAGCATCCGCGGGAGGTGGCTGGCCATGTGAGGCAGGAAGGGCCGCGGAGCTCCGGGGAAAGGCGTCGTCTTCCCACAGGTTGCCGGGACACAAGTCCTCTGATGTTTCGGGCCGCTCCTTGCTTTGCGTGCAAGTGTTGCTTGGAGCAGAGGATGTTTGGGAGGGAGCTGCGTTAACTGCTCCGCCAGCACCAGCCGGCTCCGGGCAGCTGCCTCGCCCGGCGCCGCGCAGGCTCCAGCCCAGAGCAGGTGTGGGGCTTAACTCCACCGTGCGGGCCTCGCCGCCATCTGCCGGCAGAGGGGCTGCGGCCGGGTGGCCCCTGGCCGCTGCTGGGGGTCGGAGGTCGTGTGGCTCCCTGCGGCGGCACCCTTTGCTTCCCCCAAACCATTTTTTTTCCCCTTTGGACAGCAGCACCAGTTGATCAAGTTGATCGCTTTTGTAGGTACGCTTTCGCCTAGTGTCTGTTAAGAGTAAACTACGGAAATACGGGATTCTTTCTGGGAATCGGACACCTTACACAACAGGCTGATCACAGGTTTGATGTTTCTGAACGTTTGTGAAAAAGCAGCGAGCAGTAAAATACTGCCGTGCATTCCTGTGATGCTGGTGTTTTGATTGCTCTGCATCAAGAATACGTAGGTCAATAATCCGTGTTCTCTCCTATAATCGTACGTGAAAGCAAATCTGAAAAATCCTTCCTCGGTGATCACTGACAGCTTCTTCGTTGAAGTTTTACGTTTTGTGAATTTTAAAAACATCTCTCCTGGCTTATTAGGGTGTTTTTGTTGTTCCTTTATTCTTTTTATGAAAGAAAAGAAATACGATGTAAAATTTAAATTAGTTCTGTTTCAAATATGTCTTTGTCAACATAGCTAAGTAGAAAGTTATTAAAATAAAAATAAAAATAAAAAAAGAGCCAGTTCGTGCACACTTATTTACTAAACAAGTACTTTATTTTAATTTTCTTCAAATGACAGCCTAACTTTTGTTCAGGTCCAGCAGAGTTTAAAAATACTCGTTTCATCATATCTTTCATGTCTTCTGAATCCTAAGCTTGTTAAAAATAGGGCATTTCTTAATTGTACTAGTAACTACTGACAGATGAATTTTCTGCATATTGTAGTTTGTAGAAAGAACATGTTATTCTCTTGTTCGTGCACAAGCCTTTAAACGACAACCCCGCCTCCTTTAAATTTTGGCTTAATGATTTTAATGTTCCTTTTGACTGTTTGCAACTGCGGTTTTTCTCTGTTGTCTTGAGGAACCTTAGGTGTGAACTTTTGCAGCTTTTGTTTACAATAAAAATACCACTTCAGAGAGACTATTTTGGTTATGAACTCAATATATATTTAATGTGGAGCAGTTCCTCCTGAGCCTGCAGGCACATAGCTCAGATAACTTTCACGAACAGTGGAGGGCTGGGGATGAAGTGGCTGGTCAGGGCCATTGTTTTTTTATTAGAAACCTGTGGGCTGATGTGAAATAAGTGCAAATCATAATTGGTTTCAGCTATCGTTTTGCTGTCCCAGCAGACTGCTTTTATCTGTCTGCATTTCCTTGTCTCTTGTTTGGCTGCAGCTACAGCTTTGGAGAGAAAGCTATTATCAGGTAGGTATCTGGCCGCTGTTTGAAGGGGGAAGGCAGCACAGCTGTAGACGGTTACTCTGTCCCTTGGGCCAGCCTGCAAGCCCCATGCTGGCTCTGTAATTGCCTGCTGAGCCTGATCCAAAGTCTGTAATTGTCGCTAGGCTGCGTGGGCATAATCAGAAACGCATCTGCGAGAGGAGCCAGGATATTTGTGCTATCAACCGTACCAACTAACTTACCTCTTAAGTTAGTCCAAGCTCCCTTACTCCTCTATATGGACGATGAAGAGAAGCAAGTACATTGAGAGGGAGACGGAGGGCGCCTTAGTGAGGCAGTGGGTGGCTTTACATGAAAAAAATTAGGACAGTGATGGCAACTGTCTTTGGTACCTGACAAACTTTTTTAAAGAAGTGTGGCAACCTTCTCTTGCTGGTGTCAGTCCAAGTTTCTGTCAGTGCCAAACTTGGCATTGGAGCCTCTGGTTTTCCCTGGTGGCCCAGGGAACATGGATGCTTTGACAGGACCTACACGCCCTACACCGTGTTACAGTCCAGGAGGGAGGCTGGGCTGTCTGGTAGGAGTTGCGGGACACCTGGCCAGGGTTGGTAGGAAAGAAGTAGAGCAAAGGAAGTCATGCAGAGAGGCTCAGAGAGAGCAATTGCCTGCTGGCAGTTCTTTCTAAATCTAAGGTGTGAGCACTAATGTGTGGAGATGGTTTCAGTGAGGGAAGACCCAAGGATGATGCTTAGAAAGGTCCGTGCGGAAACCAGTGGATGGTGCGTTTGGTGGAGGGCCAGTAATGCAAGGCAGGCAAGCTGAGGAAGTAGTGCTGGTAGAAAAAGGTAATGTATTGAATTTGTCGTGTTAGGACTTTTCCCTGCTATAGAAAGGAGCACCTTTCCTTTCAAAATGTAAATCCAGTACCTATCTGTAGAGTTACATGCCAGGGAATGAATTTAAATTAGTTTCCTCTTGTTTCGCTGACAGTGTAGTTATTGTACAACAGTCGCCTTTCCATGTCATCCTCTGACACGTCTAATACTTCCTCAGCCTTTTATACAGGGTGTACGTAAATATGTCATAGCACATTGATATCAATGGGTAAAAAGAGCTCTTAAAGCATACAGTGGATGATATAAAAAAAGAGAGTAATTATACAGCATTATACTAGTCTAATGAATTCTATCATTGCTGGATTTTGGTATTCAATTCTACTTAATTATAAATACGTTTGCACAGCCCAGGCACCAGATGTGTTCCTCCTTGTCTATATTCAGTTACAGCACAAAAATTACTTCAACCAGGATTTGACACTTCTGGTTTCCAAAAAAAAATATCCACAGAGTGACGTGTTTAGAATATATGTTTGCCTATTTTAAGCTAAATACTACTTTTTGAGCTGAATCTAAAGCACTTTTTTTGTTTTGTTTTAGTGTGTTGGTACGGAATGGTTCAATTTGGGCCTTGGAGCAGCCCTGGTTTACAAAGTGCAGGCAAAATTTTCTCCATTAGTATTTACAGTTCTCATTTTTTTGATACTCTTTTAGCACCTGAGGATATCAGTCTATCGTGCGCTGAGGGGTGAGGGCCTGCACAGAGTTTCTGCAGTTGTGGCAATTAGCTCCTGTATTAGGCAGTGGGGCGAGCCGATGGGTCCGCAGAAAGGGAAGAATTTTCTTTGTACAGAATTACATCAGGTCCCATTTCCGCACCTTGCTTGGGTCCTGCCTTATCTAAAGTCATCCCTGCTGTAAATTATTAATAACATGTTAATAACATGTTGTGTTGTTAAGCAGTGCAAAAAAAAGGAGTTAGATGTTTGAGAAGGAGAGCAGGGCGGGTGTCAGTGGAGTCCCTGCAGCGCAGGAAAGCGAGGATGAGTTGCCGTCAGCTGTACCCGGCTGAGGATCTGGAGTG